TTTTTTTTTTTTTTTTTTTTTTTTTTTTGAGGTACTGTCTCACTATATAGATCAACCTGGACCAACCTGGCCTTGAACTAGTTAGTAATCTTCCTGGCTTTGCCTCCTGAGTGCTGGGACTTTTGGTGTGTGCCACCATGCTGTCTACCTCTGTGCCTTTTTTATAACCTAATCTTGAAAGTAGTATGCTGTCGCTTTTGCCACATTTTATTGGCCACACAGAACACCTTGGTAAAAGAGAGAAAGAAATTGCACAAGGACGGTTGGGCAGAGTGGTTTGTGCAGAGGAGAGAAGAATCCTTCCCAAGGGCCTGTCATGTGAGACGTAGCCACAGCCCGATGGATGGAAAGGGAGAGTGCCCCAGAGGGGCTACGTTTTCATTTATGTGCTGGGTTCCTAACTGGATGTTTAGAGGTAAGTAGCATAGGGTATGGCTTAAAGACTGAAGTTCTCTTTGCTGTGCATACTACATACACAATAGTGTATTGCTAATACAATTCAGTAATTGTATTGATGGGGCCCATGAGTAACCCCTCACTGGTGCAAAGCCAAAGCCTTTTACATGCTAAGCAAGTACCTGACAATGGAGAGTTATAATTTATAGCTGTAATATAATTTTTAAACAATTTATTTTAAATGTGTGGGTGTTTTGCCTGCATGTATGTCTGTGTGCCTGGTGCTCATGGAGGCCAGAAGAGGGCATCATATTCCTAGAAATTGGAGTTAGATGATTGTGACCTACCGTGTGGTTGGTTACTGAGAACCAAATCTAGATCTTCTGATAGCAGCCAGTGTTATTAACAGCTGAGCCATTTCTCCAGCCCTAATATTGTTACAGATATTTAAAGTTCTAAAAAAAAATGGGCTGGAGAGATGCCTCAGTGCTTGAGTACTAACTGCTCCAATTCCCAGCACCAACATGGCAGCTTACAATCTTATGTAATTCCAATTATAGGGGACCCAAAACTCTCTTCTGGCCTCCATGGACACCATGCACACATGGGGTGACCAGATATACATGAAGGCAAAACACACAAAATAAAAGTTTAAATTCCTAAAATCCTAGATGATACTTCTTTTCATGTTGTTTTATTGTTTTGCAGCAGAATGTCTGGCATGGGATATAACTGAAAATATTATTTAGCTGTGCAAGAAGAAATGGCACTTATATACAAAAGAAAGACATGATTTTTTGGTTTTAAGTAAATACAACATAATACATCCCACAAGTGTCTGGACTCTTAGATCTTCCTGATGGAAGACCCACCATGATACCATTACTCTCCCAATAATTAAATGAGGTGCCAATGATGAAACATGGTCACAATTAGCACCCTTACAAGACTCCTTTCCAGACATCTGACCAGAACCAAGACTGGAATTTCTCATCTGTACTTAACAGTGGAGCATTCTCCCATACCTGGTTCTGGTTCTGTTGAGAGGACCTACTTAAGTGACTTTCTCCAGCTCATTGAAAGCAGCAGGGAAGCCTCATCCATGCCATGGAAGTTGGACCACATGCCTTTGAAGAAAGCTTTGTAAACCTCATCTTTGGAAGTGTTTTTCTAAGCATGCCATGGTGAGTCATGCCTATCATCTCAGCACATAGGAGGCTAAGGCAGGAGAACTGTCACAAGCAAGGCTAGTTTGGGCTTTCAGTTTGGTCTGAGTTACAGAGTAAGACATTATTTCAAACAAAAACCTTCCTCTAATAGTTGGCAGTTCCCATGTAAAAGATCTTAGACACTGCCTGTACGGAGCTCCTTAGACTGCATCAGGATCTATCCCCATTGTGAGGAAGAGAGGAGGTGACACTGGCATGACCATCTATATGATCATCTGATTATGGTATGTCTTTGTCCTTGGGGTCAGGCAGCTTGCCCTCAGCTGGGTTGTATATACTAAATTATGCCATGCAGTATATTATGGTGCCCTGAACAGAAATGTCAAAGCTTTGTTAAAGACATCAGATTCTATCCAATTTAGTGATCTTCACCAAAGTCCCCCAGACCTTTGAACTGTCAGGGTCTGTGCCTATTTTCTCTGTGTCAGCTGCCTAGAAAGTTCTGACAATATCTAGCCGGGAGATGAAATAAGGTCATAAGGCTCCTTCAGAGGCCAGTTGCTGTCACACTAGCTCCAGATATGGGTACACTTGTCCATACCCCTAGGAAGATCTGCCTGTGTTTATCCTAGACCACAAAGCTGAAGGTGTGTTGGGAAGTAGCAGGTAACATTTTCCAGGTTGTCAGGCCAGGAAAACAGTACATCCTGCTCTTTGGAGATGCAGATAAAGTAGCCCATGATGCCTCTCTGTACTGTTTATCAGCCATGGTCTGCTTATTAGCACATCATACCTTCAGCAGCAGCTTGACTTGGCTGATCAGAAACACAGCCATCTTGGAGATGGTAATAGTATTACCTGAAGTTAGGTGAAGGTTAATGGCCTGTTCCAGCCAGGTGGCACCAGGGAAAACAGTAGGCACAGAATGAGAGGAAGGCAACACCTAGGTTAGCCTATTGCCACAGCACCAAATGAATAGGTTATGTTTCCTAATTATCAGAATTTAAGTGTGAATATTAGCTATTAAGCTAGTTGTGTACTGTGTTGTATAAGATAGCTCAACCTGCTAATATATATGTTTAGCAATATATAACAATTTTCTTTCAGGTATGTTTTGAAAACTGTTCCAAAAATCACAACTGGGCAAGAATAACCTACGGGATGTTTCTTTTAATTAATTGCTCAGAGTCACTTTGTGTTCACTAGAGTTTTATCTGGTGAGTCTTTCCCTTTTTCATTTTGTTGACAGTTAAGGAGGGTTTAAACCTTGCATCATTGGGACTAGAAAGATGACTTTGGTTAGCAAAGTCCCAAGATAAGCTCCCAGTACTCACATAAGGCAGCTCACAACCACCTGTATGTACCACCATCTCCAGGGGCATCCATTGCCTCTTATTTTGGGGTCCTTCATGGGCAACTGAACTCATGTACACATACCTGTATGCACATACAAATACATATAGTTATAAAAATAAATAAGTGATCTTTCATCAACTAATAACCTGGGGAAATGAGCCATTTTCTACTTGGGCCTCTGTGGAGATCTTTTGGGAGAAATAAAGCTCTGATGTTGAAGGCAAAGTCTGATGCAGAGTCTCCAAGCAACAATTCCTTTTCCTCCAGTGCCTTCTAAGAAATTAAGAGTACAAAGTATACACTCGAGAGAAGGTGGTTCTCTGTACATACCATTCAAGGTTGAGAGTTCACATGAAGGTGGGGTCCTCATATCAGGTATGGCATCCAGCATAATCCTCCTGCTCCCATTCCCATTGACAATAGGACAAAGCATGAGTAGATAAATTTGTTTAGCTTTTAGCTGGTGATTTCACAAGTTTATAATATGAAGAATATCTTTCTTCCCTCTTTACCAAGGGCTTGGGCTACAATGGCCACTCTAATTCATCTACTCTGACACTGGACCTTTGCAGATGTCTTAGTTACTATTCTCTTGCTGTGAAGAGACACCATGACCAAGACATCTGTGGTTTGAATAGGAATGGCCCTGAAAGGCTCATAGATTTGAATGCTTGGTCACCAGGAAGTAGCACTATTAGGAGGTGTGACCTTATTGGAAGAAGTGTGTCACTGGGGTTGTATTGCTAACTGGGGGTGGGGTGGGGGCAGAGCAGCCTCTAGTTAGCACTGGGGTATGCAAAAAAATCTATGAATGTGGCCATGGCTTAGGAAAAATTCTTATCTGAGGGGAAAAATAAGGAAACACCTTCTGAGGGTAATTTTCTCTTTTACCTCATCTTAAATAATCCTCTTTGAGAATCTGTCTCCACACAGCTACATACATACAGCTACATATGTCTGTTTACATACATACATCTCTCTCCTATATGGCCACACATCTTTTACATACATTTCTCTTCTACATCTCTTTTCTGTACAGTTTCATCTTCCTTGCTTCTATACAGTTACAAATTTCCATACAGCCAGTTGTACATTTCATGTACATAGCTCTCTCAGCATACAGCACTTTACACATTTCTAGGCACAGCTCCTCTGTAGCAGCAGCTTTTGCACACAGCTCACTGGCTCAATCACACACATACATACTTCTATATCATTCATTCACTCTTTACTCACTCTCATTCACTAACACTTCTCTCACGATTCTTCGTCTCTCTCACATTTCTCTCTCAGCCCATTCAGCTATATCCCTCACTCATCAAGCACACACACTCACACTCACTCTGCCCAGCTCCTACATAGCTCTACATAGCCTCCTTTCTCTACACCATTGCTCCTCCTACAGCCGAACTTTGGACAATTACATGTTACATTTTCAGGGCCTGACCCATTTTCAAAACACAAAATAAGTCACACAGTTTTTCTCAGGCTGAGAGGTCACATTGACCAGCTAGTGAGTGACATTTTTCCATGCATATAACCTAAATGGTTCAGAGTTCTCAGACAAAGTAAACAGTTGGCTGAACCTTGAGCCTGTAACATAAACTGAGGCTGGGACTACGTGCAAAAAGTCACTTATTGAGAAAGTTATGTCTACTAAAGTTGCTTCAAGCTCTGCCCTTGAATCAGCAATAAACACCTAGGAAAACGACCTCATTTATTTGTCTCTAGGGGCAACCAGATATTCATCTCCAGGGGCAACCAGTTTGTTTTGGAGTCTAAAATTAGCTGTCTTTGTGACTGAAAATACTATTACTTTCATATGTTAGTCTGAATAATAAAAAATATACTAGTATTACTTCTACTCATCAAAATTACACAGTTAAGCAAAACTCATCTTCATGACCATCCACAGCTATATGTGTGCCCAAAGATGGAATATTTACATGAGATAAACACACAGTGGGAAAACACCCGTAGCAGTTCTTAGGGAAGAAATGAAGTGGTACATGAGACAAATTACAGACAGGAACAACTGGTCACTTATAGTCAGTGACTCCATGGCCTTGCCAGGTGGGGCTCCCCACTAGAGAGTCATTTGGTGGGTTGACCTGTTGAACACTAATTGTCACGTGCTGTATTCTCCCATGGCCATTGCTGCCAGAAACTCTCAGCAGGAATGGGCTTTGAGGTTTCAAATGTTCAAGTTAGGCCCAGTGCCTCTCCCTGGATGCCTACCAATGCAGATGTAGAACCATGGGCTCCTTTTCCAGCACTATGTCTGTGTAGTATGTGCTGCCATAATTCCTGCCATGATGAGAATGGACTTAAACCTCTGAGCCTGTAAGCCAGCCCCAATTAGAGTTGCCATGGTCTTAGAAACCCTAAGAAAGACATTCTTATAAAAAGGCATGTTTAATTGGGTACTTGCTTATAGCCCCTCCCCCCTCCCCCCCTCCCCGGGCGGGGAAAAAGGCCCAGGGGGACCCCCCCCGTTTTTTTTTTTTTTTTTTTTTCTTTTTAAGAAATCTGTAAAGGCATGGTAGGATAAATAGCCATATAACTCCATAAGTAATTATAAAGAAAGGGGAGCAATTTTTGTACTCATTTAAGATTATCAGCCATCCTATTTTGTCTGAAACTGTGATACCAGAATGTATGGAATGTGTGGCCATGTTCTTATCTCTTTTTTTAAAATTTTGTTTTGTTTTTTGAGACAGGGTTTCTCTGTGTAGCTTTGGAGCCTATCCTGGAACTAGCTCTTATAGACCAGATTGGTCTTGAACTCACAGAGATCCACCTGCCTCTGCCTCCCAAGTGCTGGGATTAAAGGTGTACGCCACCACTGTGTTCTTTTTAAAATTTTGACAGATGTGGTTGCTGGTGCAAGTTTATTTGTCCCAGTTTTTTCTTCTTCTGATAAATGTTCATAACACATGTGGTTTAACATCTTAATTCTCTCTCTGATATTGTTGCCGTACCTCATACTTGTGTGGAACAGGTCAAACCTCCCTTCCATCATAAGGCTGAGTGAGATCCCACTGACATATTATCTCCTTTTCTTACCCTTTCATCCAGAAATTGTCAATTTGGTTGTTTCCATGATTTAGTAATAGTTTTGAAAATAGTTTGTACAAATATCTGTTTTGAGTAGATAAGCAAGAGTGGAGTTGCTAGATAAGAATTTCTGTTCATTTTTGTCATTGCTGTAGACCAGATATCTAACAAAGACAATATAAGGAGAAACATTTATTTTGGTTCATAGTTTGTGTGTTTGATCAATAGTCACTTAGTCTTTATGCTTGGGCAGACAATCATAGTGGCAAGGAGAGTGTGATAGACCCTTTTTAACCCTTTTTTGACAGAGGGGACATAAAAAGAATGGGCAATGGGCTGACTTTCTGTGCAGGGTCCCAAACATGGTACTGTCCACGGTCAGGGTCAACCTTGAAGCTTCCAGGAACCTCTCTCTTCTTGGCTCAATCAGAATGGTCAGCCCCAGAGATCTCTGTGCCAGGGACTAATTTTGGTTTGAAATCTGGGGGTAAATGGTGTTTAGATGTAGAGCAGAGAGATTTTGGTGCCCTGTAGATGGTGACTTGCAGGTTATTTAGGGACAGAAACATCCTTCTAGTTCACTTGATGACTACAGTGACAGAGCAGGATTGCATTAGGTGCTTTGGCACCAGAGGTGAGGAGAACACACTCTGAAAGCCAGCATGTCAGTGCCACAGAGTCCTTTTACTGCTTGCAAATTATTCATTAGCCATTAGAACTTGCATATTATGAATTATGGAAGAGTGCTGTTTCTATTAAGCAAGAGGGACATATCCTTGCATGGCTTTTTTAATAGTAAATTCCATTATTTCCAGACTATAAATGATGCATTATTATAATACTGAATTCAGAATAATGAAACTGGCCTGTTTGCTGAGCCCCATGGAGTCCAAATGGCCTTTGTTGGGGGATGTGACTGACAGACGAGAAGACAGTGTGCTAGGTGTTAAAGGCTTTTCCCAGGGACCTGCAGTGATGTGTTCAGAAGGGAGGAAGGTGCAGTGTAAGGGCCAGGATGAAGGAACAGCTCATGGAGAAATAGGACCCAGAAATCAAAGCCCATGCTGGGTGAAGGTCAGTGATGGGGAGAGCTTCTTGATCCTAGCATGGGACTGATGGCTGTGCAGGCTGGCTCGAATAGTGTGTTGCCTGTGAGTGACTGGGTATCCCCTACAGGGTGCCAGAGCATAGAGAGGCTCTCATGAGTGAGTGAAGAATTGAGAAGACCCCATGTGTGGACTGCTCTAGGCACCTATGCAAGGTGGTGGTCTCTCCAGGGTAGTTGAACGGTACCTGATGCCCCCTACATTCCAGGATAAACTCTTAGCCCATACAAATGTAGAGTGTCCATTCCTTAGAGAGATGCTAAAATTGCACGCTTCTGTGCCAGAACACAGTCTTAAAGAGCCCGGAGGTTCCAGCCCTTCATTCTACCCCACTAATAGTGTTGGTACCTTCCCTGTGCCCTCCAAGGGCCTACCAGCCTCTGTTAGACTTTTGCCTCCCATCAGAACAGGTCTATGGGGCCCTGAACCCAAAGAAGCTTCTCCTGTGAACCAGTTTGCAAGCCTCATGAACAGGGACAGGAGCTATCTGCTGCCCTATTTCCCCCTACTATAGTTCTGACATCTTGAAAGTACTTAATGAGTAGCTTGTAAATTTGTCAGTGAGATGGTCTTAACCTTTCCTAGGCCCTTAAATATAAGCACTGAAGCGAGAGAAGGTCAGCAGCCACTTACTCCTTTAGAACCCTCCTCTGATTTTACTTCTGTTTCCTTGGTTGTTCTGGTTCCTGTTCTTTGAACAAGATTTCTACTCTCCATTCTTCAATTAGAGCCAGGGCCTAGGTGCTGCTCCATTCAGCTGCAGAGGAGCATTTAAGAGTTTCTAGCTAAAAGACAGGGATGCTTCGAATACCACATCTTCTCTCTTGGGTGGATGATAATGTAACAGGCATGTTCTTAGTGTCCTTCTTGCCTGAGAAGACAGAGCCACATTTAGCACTTGTTTTCTCTCCGTGTTTCTTGTGAAATCTCCTATTTGCTATAGACACTGGGTTATCCCCCTCTGTTGCTTTTTTTGGCCAGAAAATAATATATTTGTTCTTAGCACCCCCATCATGATCCTGGTCTATCTGGCTTTCTGTCCTTCTGCCCTTCTGATCTGACATGTCCACCTTTCTTGTGATCCTTTATGACATGGAGCTTGGTGTTTGCCTTGGTTCCTGTGTGATTCGTCTTTACTCAGTTATTTAAGACCTCTGCATTCTTTCCCATCACCCTGCCTTGCCGAAATCCTCAACTTTGGAATCTGTCTCTCTCCACAGACTCCCCTTGAAATCCACCTGACAGTTCATGAACATCTTTTTGGTTTTTCAAGACAGGGTTTCTCTGTGTAGCTTTGGAGCCTATCCTGGCACTCGCTCTGGAGACCAGGCTGGCCTCAAACTCACAGAGATTCACCTGCCTCTGCCTCCGGAGTGCTGGGATTAAAGGCGTGCACCACCAATGCCTGGCATGAACATCTTTCTTACCTCTCTGTCTTATCCTGGCTAACAGTGCTACAACTTCTTGGGGAATCTTTTTCCTTTGTCACACAGGATGGAATGCTGGCATTGGGTGCTGTTCTCTGAATGACATCTTTTTTAATGGTGCTCCACTGACAAGGGAAAAACCAACCCAGAGGTCCAGCATCTCTTCAAAGATACCTTTAGAGCACACTGCAAGAGCACTGGAAAAGGGTCCAGTGATCAATGGTGTGTGGCTTTGTAAATGTCAGTAAGTGACATTTACATCATTCATATTGAACACACTGACCAGGGAAGAGATTGATAGCCAGAAGCTCCTAGAAGCATCTGTAACAGTACTAGGAGAAAATGAAGGATAGGCCAGGTCATGTTGTGATAAGCATTCTCAAAACTCAGGAGCTCAGCATATAGCAGCTTATTCCTGTGTCTATCAAGTCAGCTTTGGGTAAATGTGACTGTCTAGAACATTGGTTTTTCAACTTGTGGGTCACAATCCTCATAGGGGTGGTGTATCAGATAATTACATTGTGATTCTTTTTTTTAAGAGTTTATTTATAATATATACAACATTCTGCTTCCGTGTATATCTGCACACCAGAAGAGGGCACCAGATCTCATAATGGATGGTTGTGAGCCACCATGTGGTTTCTGGGAATTGAACTCAGGACCTCTGGAAGAGTAGCCGGTGCTTTTAACCTCTGAGCCATCTCTCCAGCCCCTACATTGTGATTCTTAACAGCAAAATTACAGTTATGAAGTAGCAATGAAATAATTTTATGGTTGGGGATCACCACAACATGAGGAAATGTATTAAAGGGTTGCAGCATTAGGAAGGTTGAGAACCACTGGTCTAGAGATCCCATCTTCTATATAGCACTCCAACTCTAAACCAGTAGGGGTCTCATTTGCCTTATGATATAGCAATCCCTCTTCCCTACAGTTCCCAAAGAGAAGATAGGTCAGGTTGAACAGTCACTTCAAAGACCTTGGAAATGACACCTCATATCGGTTCCTGTTTATTGGCCACATGATGTTATCTCAGCACATGACTGGGCAGGGGAAGCATGTGCCACATACTGAGAAACTAGACACCCTGATTAGGAGCAAAAATAAACATCCCACCATCTCTCTTCCTTCCCATTCTACAGGTGTGTTGATGGCCCCATGGAGATAAGAGACAGTTCCTTTTGTAGCTGGGATGACAGTGCTGATTCCTACTGGAAGAAGGACAGCAGTGGAGACACCTAGACCACTGTGAAAAAAGCGCAGGCTCTTTGGACAAATGTGAGCTTCAAGACCAGGAAGCCAGAGCTACTGGCTGGATTGCCTTCTGTTTACTCATTTCCAGCATTCACCTCAAATCCACAGTGAATTTGGCAGGTGGTCATCAGTGTGCAGAGGCAGGTGGGGCCAGGACATAAGTGGGCCACCCTTGCGGGTCTTTTATGGGCTAAAGCCAGGAAGGGCTCAGCAGGAGCCATCAGAAGCTTTGATGCTGTGCTCCAGCTCTCAGTAAATGGTTTTGTAACTAAATCAGAGACAAAAGGACAGCTCTACAAAAGGCAGGGCCTAGTGACCATTCCTCACAGCCACAACAGGCCCAGTAGCCTCCATGATCGTATCTGTAGCCTGCACAAATCTGTCTCCCAAACATAGATCAGGAACACCATTCCTGGCCATCACATGTATAGACACACACACCACCCTCTAGAACCTGGGACCCACCAACAAATAAGCTTCACATAACCAGGCGGTACACTGAGACTTGCCCTGCATCAGATCCTGGGTGTGCTCTGTGGCGCAACTATGCAGTCCCATTGGGTCAGGTCATGTTGAGGAAGAAGCCGCCTCCTCCATCTCTCAGGAGAGCTGGAGGTTTTCCTCCCCAAGTGAAAGGTAGTATGGGAGGAGGGCAGAACTATGAGAGCCAGTCTGGCCTCCTGCAGCCAAGAACACGGGTCTTGGCTGGACCCGAGAGACCACTTACTATCTACACAGGCGGTTCTTTACTTTTTCTAAGCCTCAGTTTCTGTCAATGTGGAGTGGGCATAAGACATAGTCTATCTAAGGATTGGATTGTGTTCTCCAAATACAATAGCTGAAGCCCTAACCTCAGGAGGTGACCTTTGCTGAAAACAGGGTCTATAAAGTGGACCCAATGTAGCAGGACTGCTGTCCTTTTATAAAGGAGACGTCTACATTAGATAGCCAAGGAAAGATGGTCAGAGGACTGGACAGAAGTGGTCAGATGTCCTGAAAGCTGAGGCCTGTGGCAGACCCCACAAGCTAGAAGAGGCAGGAAGGACCTGCCTGGAGCCTTCAGGAGGAGTGTGGCCACACCTTGGTTTGTGATTTCTGTCTTCTGAGTGATGAGCTTTCCTTGTTGTCTGCCATGCCACCCAGATTCTGTTACAGCAGCCCTAGGAAAGACCACACCATGCTCCACCCCTACCCCTCCACCCCACCCCCAGTTGGCTTGGAACATAGGGGCAGACTGTGCTGATTCAGGCCTTTGCCACAGCCAAGTACAAACCTAGAGGAAGGTACCTCATACACAGAAGAGCAGGACACAGTCCCGGCCCTGGTCCTTTTCCTGCCCACTAAAAGCTGTTTAGCAGCTCAGTTTCCTAACCAGCAAGATGGGGACAATTCTGCCTACTTTCCAGGCTGTCACAGAGATGAAATGACAGCAGAGCAGCTGTGCAATGACTACTTTCCATCTTCTTCGAAGAGACAAAAGGGATGTCATTTTCTACTGACAACAAGCTTTGACCTGACATTCCTTTCTCAAAGAAAGAGAAATGTGTCACAAGTCAAACTGTAGTGTCTTGCCGTTCTGGCCTCCCCAGGACCTACAGTCATCAAGATGCCAATGGTGGAGCTGGCAACAGGGATGAGAAGATCTTTACAAGGGACTGTCCTTGGGGGCAGAAGACATGAGGCCTGGCCAATGCTGCATCAGCCCAGGCGGATTTCCAGAATACTGGGTTTGGCTGGTCCTGGCTGTGGCACCACAACAGACAGCTTCCCTCCTTGTCCAGACCCATTTGGAGCTGGCAGCATCAAGCCCACCATGCCTGCCCTGCTGAAGCCTTCCATGGCTGTGCTGTATGCTGGCTCTGCAAACAGGCCCTCTGGGTCACTGCCCTCTGGGTCCCCCAAGGCTGCCATGCAACACCCGAGTCTATTCAATACCAGCCTCCCTGTAAGTCACAACAATGGGTTTTTTGCCTCAGAGAAACTTACCTAGCCACATTGGACAGGTCCAGGTGCTTCTGAACCTCCAGCAGAACCTCCCGGAAGAAGCGCAAGCGCTTCTCTTCAAACTGCTGGCACTGCTCAAACACCTGCTCCATGTTCTCCATGTACTGGGGTGTGGTCTGATCAAGCTCCTTCAGGGCCTTCTCATACTTGTCCTTGGTCTGTGTTGAAATTGGCACAGGCAGAGGTTTCTTGTCCATCCCACCTCTGTTTGCCCCATGTGCTCCACTGCTGCTCAGGCCTCCCTAGATTCCAAATGTGGGAGCAGGAGTTCCAGAGCCTAGCATTCTCCAAGTGCAGTCCCTGTGCTTCTCCATGGCAAGTAACTCTGTTTTCCATCTCACAGATACGAGGCCCAAACAGGTAGATAGTCACATCAATACTCAGTGCCCTGTATCCAAAGCATACATCTAGGTTGGTGGCATAGTTGTGAGCATAGCTGCCTTCTTTTTTCATCACAAGCCTTTGTTCATTTTTGTCAGTGGGGAATACTATGCTGCGCAACACTCTAGCCTAGATCTAGCCCCAGCAGCTATGGCATGTGAGGCACCTCAGAGACAAGCTCATTGTCTTAAGTGCCAAATGGCCCTGGGCCTCACCCATTATCAGACAAAGAGAGACTTAAATGACTGACATAAAGCTACATAGATTAGACATTCCTAATTTTCTCCAGTCAGCCTCTTTTTTTGAAGGCTATCCAGAGGAAGGGCATTTAGTTAAAAGGATAGATTAAGAGCAGTATGGTCCAATTAAGCAAGTCTCTGGAGGGAATTATTAAATCCCTAAGATGTGGTGAAAGTGGACATCTGATGTGTGTGCTCAGGCTTGGAGACCACATTCATCCAGACGTGTGTACCCTACCCTCCATACCATGCTAATCTATAGGAGCTTCCTGGAAGTGAGCAGCAGGGTTCTGGGAATGCCTATTTCCACATGTGTGTCTAACAACTGAAGGGTGTTCATGGATGCATGTGAGAAGTACATGACACTCTTGCTAAAGCTGGTACCATGCCAATGCTCAGCTTACCTCACCAGCCTGTGATTAACCTTCAGAGTGTCCATTAGCAGGTGGCCACTTCAGTATTCCATCCATAGTCACTCGGGTGAAGGTACAGATTCACTATTTCTTGGTCTCTCTGGAGCTGGCAAGATTGTCCTGTTGTACACTGTGTGGTGCATTCTGCTGCTTCTACCTATAAGTGGAAAGAATGCTAAGGACCACATTGTTCAAAGTGGCCTTCATGCAGAAGACTCCCATTTTCAGATTCTTTTCTGAGGACTCTAGGCTTTCTGAAAGTTGTGCACTGCTTCATTTCCTCAAGATCTCCCATGGCTGTGCTAAAAAGCTGACATTGGTATCTCTCGTTGCGTGTGTATATTGTCAGATGAGGAAGCAGCTACAAACTGTAGGTAAACTATCACAAGTAGTCATCAGAAAAGGACCTCACTTGGTCACGCTTGGTATCTCATGTTGACATAGGGGACAGGGACAACTTCCAATATTTGGTGGTGACTAAAGCCTACTTTCATGTCATCACATAAAAGAATATTACTATCTAGTTATTCCCACCTATCTCATGCTAGGCACCATTCTTGTGTTTTCAGCCTCTAAATATTGCCTATTCCCTAGCAAGTAGGAATAACTGTCCCCATTTCACAGATGAGGAAACTGAAGCTTAGGGCAGTCACTGCATCTGCTAGTGTCCTACAGCTCAGTAGCAGGGCTTCAGCTGAAAGTAGCTCTTTGTACAGTTCTGGTAGGGACAGTCTGGCTAGCAAAACCTGATTTGTACCTGCCTTTTCAAGAGTATATTAAGTATTGACTGCCTTTTCACATAAGTCAGGAATTTTTTTTAAGTTAGGAATTTTTTAAAATGAGTGCCAAGTGGATAATTTAGGATGAAAATACTCAATGTTTCATTGAGCTGTGGACTTTTCAAGGTACAGGCATTAACCCTGAAGGTCCCCCAGGAAAGAAATGGAATCTGTTCTCATCTTTTTCCTCCCATGGTCTTCACAGTATTAGCCAACAAATTAAGAACACAGCAGTTCAGAGCTGCTAACAAGAAAGCTACACTTGGACATTTTTTATTTTTATCTACATTGAGCAAAAGATCCCTCAACCAGTTGCTGACATCTTTGATGGCCCCAAGGGATCTTAGAGGGTGTGAAGAAGACCAGCCTTGGTGATAGGTGGTGCAAATTTGCCTTGTGGCTGCCTGAACCTTTGCTTTAATTTCAGCCAATAGGCTCTTCCCTGACAGTATACAGTGTGTAACCCCTACCCACCATAATGCCACCACCTCTGCTTGTCCTGTATTCTGGAGTGTTCACCAGCTGTCACAAGCTCTGGTGGCCTTGGCTTAATCTCCCCCTTTGGACTGCAGACTGGTTGCAGCACTAACAGTCTGTAGGCTTTGTCTTTTCTGCTGACTCAGTACTCTATTCCAGTAGACTCTGGCTCCTGTAACTTTAGAGCTGCTCTGGTGGTTCATGCCTGCAATCCTAGCACTCGTAGCATTGTCAGGTTGAGGCCAACCTGAGCTACATAGTGAGTTCCAGACCAGCTTGGGCTACAGAGTGATACCCTGACTCCAAAATATAAAGAAAAGGAAAAGAGACTTTAGGTAGAACTGCCACTCAACTGCACTGTGCCTTGTCCATGTCTGAAAACCCTCTGGGCTCTGTTTTGGTTTCTGATACTCTGAATTTGGCGCAGCTTTTGTTTTGTGAGCGCCTATTCCAGTTCTCACACCCTGTCTGCAGGTCCTGAGCCTAGTACTGTTAGCACTTCCAGGGATGCCATGAAAAGCAGCTCTGAGAGCCCTGAGGTTCTCGTTGCTTCTCATGTTCACAAGTTACCTTTTCTTTGGTCTCCTGCTTAAAAAGTAGGCCTGGAAATCACCCCATGTGTGTCTAATTGAGGTTCATTTAGATCCAAGAGATTCAAGAAAAAGGACAACTTGCCTCAATGCCTGACATCAGTATGAATTAGAAGACCAATTGGGTTTGCTTGGAGGAAAAGAGACTCCTTTAATCTTTTTATCCTAGGACCCTCATCTGAGAGACTCCTAACTAAGCCCCTAGGCCTACAGACCCTGTGATCCAGACAGCTGAGGGAAGACACAAAAGTTTCAGGGAGGACCTCAGACCCTTCGCAGAGGGGAGAAAGGATAGATAAAAGCCAATACCTTGTGGCAACCACCTCAGGGTAATTCAAAATAAATATGACCCAAATTTATCTAACAAGAACCAAGGCACCTGACTGAGAGCCAGTGCATATTTGACCAAAAGGGTACTAGGAAATGACTGCTTTGTAAAGGGCTGGCCAAACAGCAGCCCCCACCCAAGTGCAGCCATGATTAGCCCCTGGGTCAAGAAACCCCATAGAACTTTGTGTGACGCTTGTGGCTGGTTGATACATTATCACATACCTTGTGGTCTTAGGGTTCGGGTATAAAATCTTAACCCCCAAAGCACTGATAGGTGGAAGGTTTATCAGCTGGCATCGTAATGACTGGATCGTAAGGGTGGTGTCACCAATGGATTAATCTGTTATTTGAATGGGCAGTTAGACCATGGGGTCTGTTTGCAGGAAGTGGGACACTGGAGGAGTGCCCTGGAAGGGGTAAATCTTGTATCCTTATGAGGTAAGCACTCTGCTTTGCCAAGTGTTTCTGTCATGTTCAGTTTTGCTTCAGGTCTACAGTGATAAGGCCAGAGAACCATGGACCAAAGCCACGAGCCAAAATAAGTCTACTCATTTCAGTTTTAACAAGTATTTTTTGGCACAACAGTAGATAACACAAGGGTAATTTTATTTGTCTATATGTAAAGGTGTATATATCTACATGTATACTGTATGCATATTGTGTATATTGTACCAAATTGAGTTAGAAATAAACATTTGTTTATTAAAGAAACTTGTGAGATAAGCCCACCACTCAGACACTTTTCTGTTTTTTCAAGACAGGGTTACTCTTGCAGACCAGACTCTGCCTGCCTCCGAAGTGCTAGAATTAAAGGCATGCACCACCAGCCACCCAAATCACTTTTTCTGGCTTTGGAACCTGTCCTGGAACCAGCTCTTGTAGACCAGGCTGGTCTCAAACTCACAGATATCCGCCTGCCTCTGACTCCCAAGTGTTGGGACTAAAGTCATGCACCACCACCTCCCAGCTCACTCAGACACACTTAAAGCCAAGAAGAAAAAATGTTTATTTCAGCCAGGAACTTGCCTTTTACATCCCTTTGTCTTTTATGCACAAAAAAAACAAAAAAGCTGAATCCTGGTTATCACACTTCAGTTAGCAAGAAGCAGAACTACAGAAGCTAAAACGTAAGGTTAATGGTTTAGGGACTTTCTTGGAATTATAGACTAGTTTTTGGATGGATTAGGTCTTTGCTCCCATTTTGGCAGATTTGGGGGCGTTTGTGCTGGGTTTTAAGGTCAGAATGGTGCCTCTAACATGGCATCAGTTGTGCCTTGGCACCTGTTAGAAAGCAATCCCAAATACTTTGCATATTGTGTATAACTTAGGGAAGCTTAGGTGAAGACTGATATTGACAGATGACTCTGATGTGTCTCAAGATGAACCAAGTACTCGTGTATTTTAACATGTAAAGCTCTTGTTTCAAGAAACCTTTGTAACATTCATATGGGAAAAGAGTATTAGCTAATGGCTCTGATAGCTCTAATGCCTCAATTTCAGTGGGCAACAGAAATAAGGATGAATAATGGGGCACAGAGGGTATAGCTCAGTGGTAAAGTACTGGCGTAGCATGAGTAAGACCCTGGGGTTCCATCCCTAATTCCCTAAAAATAAAATAAGCTGACAAACATAAATAGGATAAATGTTTATAAGCATAGGCAAGAAAGAAAGCTTCAAAGATGTGACATGTTCATTGCAGAATGTAAGTTAAGTTCTCGGAGTACTTAAACTTCTAAAATGCAAAAATGCAAACTACCTGATGGGTGTGTTCTGAATATTTAGAATTCTAGTTAGCCTGTGTAGTTCTGTATGTGAGGAATATAAAGTAAATTAACCCATGTAAATTTAGAAGTTTTCAGGGACCAAGGGGATGCTTCAGTAAACTGCTTGCTACAGGCATGAGACAGAGTCTGATCCCTAGCACCCACATAAAAAATTGAACATGATAGCACTTGATATAATCACAGCAGTAGGGTGGTGGAGACGAGGATCTGTGCTGGATGGGCAGCCTAACTAGAGCCTAGCCCCAGGTCCCAGTGAGAGACTCTGTCTCAAAAAGAAAATATAGACTGCTAAGGAATGATAATCTTACCTCAGGCCTCCACATACACATTCAGACACTTGCATACACAAAACATGCACACACACATCAATACATTTAGAAGTTTTGTGTACTTGGGCTGGGGATATAGCTCAGTAGTACTTGTAGTGCACCTGTTTGGCATGTGTAAGACTCTGGTTCAACCTCTCATACTGAGAGAGACAGAATAGAATGAAAGAAAATTGTTAAGTAGGCAAAAAGCAGTATGGAGAAATTTACAGGTATGGTAATCTATTTAAATTTTTATGCATATAGGTGATTTGCATGCATGTATATCTGTATACCTTGTGTGTGCAGTGCCCATGGAGGCACTGAGCTCATATTTACAAATTGTGAGCTGGGAATTAAACCCAGGTCTTTTGGAAGAGCAGCCAGTGCTCTTAACCACTGAGCCATTGCTCCAGGTCCATAAGAATCTATTTTTATGAGAAAGCTAAAAGGGAAAGTATTTATGGATGACAAGGGGGTTTGTGGGTTTGGAGCAGTAGGCCACTAGTTAAGAGCACATACTGAGTTTGGTACCCAGCACCCACATTGGGCAGTTTACATCTCTAGGAAATCTGATGCCTTCTGGCCTCTACAGATATTATCCTCATGTATAAAACCACACAAAAGACACAATTATACATATTTAAAATAAGGGGCTGGAGAGATGCTGGCTCAGTGGTGAATGGCATTTGTTGTGATAAAGGACCTGAGTCCAGTTCCCAGTATTCACATGGTGAGTGGCTCACAGCCAGCTATGGCTGCAGTTCCAGGGCATGAGTGATCTTCTGATCTCTGAGGGCAGCAGACATGCACATGATACATGTACACTCACATGCAGGCAAAACAATTATATATAAAAATAGAAAAGCACATCTTGTTTTAAAGTGGAAAGCATTGCAGATGGGAATTCTGTAGACCTCTATGGTTATCAACACATGGATTTTAGAGAGAAAATCACTCGAAAATGGGAGGACAGTAGTTAACTTGGGGTGTGTGGATGGAAAAACTATGAGTACCACTGAATAAACATTTCCATTGCTGCTACACTTGTCACTGGAGTGTTGCTAGAAGTCAAGAGGGTAATGATGGTCCATGTAGGGGTAACAGAGATCTGGAGTTTAGATCCTTTGGGGAAAGGGTGGAATTAAAAGCAGGTTTAGGGTAAAACCAAACAGGCAGAGGTGGACCTGCAGCCATTAGATGAGCAGTGGCCAGAGAAGCATAGATAGTGAGCAGTTGGTATGGTGGGATCAAAGAGGAACTTCCCCGTGATTACTTAGAAAACATTAGAAGTCTCTGAGACTCAGGGTCATGGTTAGGACTAAATATGTTGGCAGTGTTTGGGCAAAATAATAGTGAAATCAGGTGCATCAAACTGGAAAGAAAGTGCCTAGAGGTGAGTAGCAGCCTAGATTTTTAGAATGTACTCTTTTGAAAGAAGACAGTAACAACAGTTGAGAGTAGTAGAGCCAGACAAAGAACTGGAGAAGTGCTATCCTTGAGGGAAATGGAGAAAGAGATGTAAACACCATCCTCCTGAACCTCCATGGTGGCCAAGGATTGCCATTTAGGTCACTTGGAAGGTAAAAAGACAAACAAAAACTTGGTTATCTTCTCTGATTACCACTTTTAGTCTGTCATCTCAGTTTAACAGATGACACGTGTCTAGCCTCAGCATTTCTACCCCATGGAAGAAATTTTGGAGAGAGAAAGTACCCCTAAAGAAAGGAGTAAGTTATCAGTAATACATGGGAGAGAAAATGGAGGCTGGCTCTCAGAAGGGGCTCAGAGTTGTGTCAGTTGCTATAGGATCAAGGGAAGACTATTTGGCCACTCTGTTCAGGAAGAGAAGGCAGCAAGTTCCAGCAGTCTGGCCACACTGGTAGCATCTGAACTTGCAGAGAACAAAACAGGCCTGCCGAAGAGTGGCTCCAGCCAAAGAGCAGCTGGCTAGCTGGCCATGGAACAAGCAATAGCACAAGGAATTGGAAGAACTCATCACGTGAGTGAGTAATGAGGAAAGAGAAAGGTTGAGGACAAAGATGAGTACAAGGGCCAGGAAGAAGTCAGTGTGTGAGTGGACATGGACATGAAGGGGCTGGAGCTCAGCATGACTGTTGGACACAGGTGTTTCCTAAGAGCTACTTAGAAGAGTGAGAAGGACATCTGGAAGTTGACCAGGAGTCTTAAATGTGGAGTTCTGTGAAGTGCTGAGTTACTGGGTCAAAAATAAGGGCTGTTGGGTGATGAAAATATGGCTGGGAGCTGGGGAATGCAGCTCAGTGGTAAGCATTTGCCTAGTATGTGTGAGGCCCTACGTACAGTCACTGGTACACACACAAAAAAGGAAATACTTCTGAAAGTGATAGACAGTAGTTAGGGTCAGTTATGAGGGGAATGCAAACTTATGCCACCAATGAGGACTAAGGTGTCTCAGTAGATAAAAGGTCTTGCCAGTAAGCCTGAAGACCTGATTTTAATCCCTGGAAGCTATATGGTGGGAGGAAATAAGTACCAAAACTTATCCTCTGACACCCACAAGCACTCTGGCACACAGGTGCATGCATATACACATTCCAAATAAGACAATTTAAAAAGCATCAGTGATTCAACTACATAATTCACAGACAGCAGTTGGAAGAACAGTGTACATTAAGTGACTTTCACTATATGGAGAGGTGATGTGGAACTGATGGCAAGGAGCATGACATGGGAAAGACCAAGGAAGTTGAAGAGGTGGGAGAACATGGCTAAGCAGACCCTACTGGAACAGGAATGTCGTTTAGTGGGCCATATGTGCTTGCTTATCATATGCAAGGCCTTGAGTTTGATCCTGAACAAAGAGGCCTAACACCCAACTGTTCCCACCCTGTCTGGATGTCCTTTCTCCTTACTACTGTCTTTTTGATCCATGTGGGGGTTTTTTCTCGTTGTTTTTTGGTGTTTTTGGTCCAGCTCTGAGCTAATTTCCCACCCTGTCTGGATGTCCTTTCTCCTTACTACTGTCTTTTTGATCCTTGTGGGGTTTTTTTCTCGTTGTTTTTTGGTGTTTTTGGTCCAGCTCTGAGCTAATGGAATGTACAGCTTTTGTGAGGTCCCAACTTCCCTGAGGGTGTGTAGACAGGCAGGGAAAGTATTCCCAACTTCACACCAAGTCCCTTTCCAGAATGTCGTGGAAGCTGCTGTGCTGCTCCAGTCAACACGTTTCATCTCCAACTCCTTCGTCCAAATGAATGCTAGGAAATTACTAAAGCCACGTGGTTGAGAAGCAGCCAGCTGAAACGGGAAGAAGCTGGCGCATTTGACACCCAAACCTGTTTTTCTTCTATTGTGCCCTACCTGAGGCAATGTTTGCCAGCTGCTCCACGCTGGCTGGCCCTTGTAAAAGACACCTGCTCCCGAGCTCAGACCTTCTAGCTACTAATGTTATCCAAGGTTTAGATGGCGCCCCAGGCACTAAACAGGATTCTGATCTTTCTAGACTTAGAATGTTCTGATCCCGACAGAACCTGTGGCCTAGAGGCGGGCACTTTCTCTCCATTGACCGAACAGACAATTTATAATTACAGGATTACCAAACCGTTATGGCACAGTGCAGACCTGTAATCCCAGAACGCAAGAAGCCGAGGCAGGA